GACTTGGAAGATGCTCAATAGGTATTAAAGAGAATTACACTGTTAGCAGTCCACCAGCCTTACTAAAGGGACAGAGCCAGAGCAAAAGGACAAGAGATCTCTGGACACTGAAACTTGTGCACGTGGGAAGCAGACTGGGGAAACTAGAGCTGTGAACATCCCTTGGAAAATGAAGGGTGGCTCCAGGCATAAGAGCTGCAGAATCATTCCTGGTCAGGGATTGGCATCAAAGTGTTCCCAGTATCTGTCCAGGTGGATTGCAGAATCTCTAGGAACTTCTCAGTGCCTCCTATCATTGTCTCCCTCCCAACAAGAGCATCCAGGGTAGTTATTCTGTGCCTATCTACCTTGCATACAGTATGTCCTTAGTTCACAGCTCTTCAGCTAGAAATGTCCCTTAGGAGCTGTGTTGGTAAACTACACCTAGGTAGCCCCATCCCTAAACCTGGTTTAGATTTTCAGTGCTTTGAGCTGTAATGAGACTTGGGAGGTCTTGGGAAAGGGTGTTCTTTTCATGTGAATCAATGGAGGTAAACTATGAAGCCAACCTCCAAGACAGCTGCCAGTGATTTAGGGCTGATGAAGTCAGTTGTAAAAGACAATGAGCCAGGCATGGAGGTACAGACCTTTAGTCTCAGTACTGGAGGGAAGGGGCAGGCAGAGGCAGATGGATCTCTGTGAGATTGAGACCAACCTGGTCTATACCGTGAGTTCAAGGCCAGCTGGGGTTATGGGGCGACCTTATCTCTAAATAAATAAATAAGTAAAAATATAAATATAAATAAATAAAAATAAAAAATAAATTAATAAATAATAAAATTAAAAATTAAAATAATAAAATAAATAAATAGACAAAGAGGCCTCCATCGTTTTCTCTTAGACATTACTTGCTCTGGAGAAACCAGCTGCCATGTTATAGAGACACTCGAGCAGACCTATAGAGGTCTAGATGGCAAGGATTAATTCTTCTTGCCAACAGCCTGTATGAATTTAGCAGCATTTGAATCCGCCTTCTCGGAAAGGGATCTTTGAGAGGCAGTGCTACCTCCAGATGTCTGCAGCCCTTGCTCTATACCCTCATAGGAGAACCTGTGCCGGAGGACCTAAGCCACTCTGGAAATCCTGGCCCACGAAAACAGAAGTAATAAATACTTTGTTAAAGCTATAAGATGTGGGACAGTTTGTCTCACAGCAGTAGATAACCAGCATATACTCTGCACCATCCCCCAACCCCTAGTCACTTGTATCTTTTATTTTTTAAAAATATTTTATTTATTATTTTTATCTTATGTGTATGCGTGTATTGCCTGCATGTGGGTAAGCGCACCCACGTCGTGCAATGCCCTTGGAGGACAGAAAAGGCTGTTGGATCCCCTGGAACTGGAGTTATGGAACAGTTGTTAGCTGCCATGTGGGTGTTGGGATTCGAACCTGGGGTCTTCTGCAAGAACAACCAGTGTTCTTAATCGCTGAGCCATCTCTCCAGCCCCCACCTTGTGTCTTTTTATAAGTCATTTCCCAGATACATTCACCCTTCTGCTTCTGGCTTCTGCATTGTGGTTTTTGTTGCCTTTGCACCAGATCTACATTGTTTTCATTATTATGCTTTTGTAGTGTATCTTCCTTTATTTATTTGGTTATTTTTATTTTTTTGAGATAGAGTCTTATGTAGCCCAAGCTGACTTCAAACTTGATATCTACTTGCTTCTGCCTCAGCCTTCTAAATGTTGGGATTAGGGATATATAGAACTTTTCCTGGCTGCACCCCCTTACTCTTATTATTATTTTTTTTTCATGAGACAGACTATCACTGCAAAATCCTGGATAGCCTCAGACTCTCCATGTAGACCAGACTGGACTTGAATTTGTGCATCTGCCTCCCGAGTTCTGGGATTATGGGTGTGTACCATGCCAGATTTTTTTTGTCATCTGTGTTTTCTTTGAGACTAAGGTATCTTAACTATGATGTCCAAGCTGGTCTCAAATTCCTGGACTTAAGCTATTTTCCAGCCTCAGCCTCAGAGTAGCTGTGACTCCAGGCAACTGCAACCATGCCTGGCCTTCCAAATTAATTTTATAGTCTTAAGAATCTAGAGACTGGGAGCTGGAGAGATGGCTCAGTGGTTAAGAACATTGACTGTTCTTGCAGAAGACCTGGGTTTGAATCCCAGCACCCACATGGCAGCTAACAACTGTTCCATAACTCCAGTTCCAGGGGATCTGACAGCCTCTTCTGTCCTCCATGGGCATTGCATGACATGGGTGTACTTACCTACATGCAGGCAATACATGCATACACATAAAATAAAAATAATAAATACATTTAAGAAAAAAAGGGCTGGGTGTGGTGGCACATGCTTTTAATCCCAGCACTTGGGAGGCAGAGGCAGGCGGATCTCTGTGAGTTCAAGGCCAGCCTGGTCTATGTAGTGAGTTCCAGGTCAGCTGGGGCTACAGGGAGACCCTGTATAAAAAAAAAAAAAAGAATCTAGGGACTGGGGCCAGGTATGGTGGTGCATGCCGTTAGTCCTAGCACTTGGGAGGCAGAGGCAGGTGAATCTCTATGAGTTCAAGGCCGGGCTAGTCTACATAGTGAGTTCTAGGTTAGCTAGGGTTACAGGGAGACCCTGTCTCAAAAGAAAGACCCCCCAAAAAAAGACTCTAGGGGCTGGAAAGGTGGTTAAGAGCACTTGCTATTCTTACAGAGGGACCCTAGTTCAATGCCTAGTACCGACATGATGGCTCACAACTGCCTGTAATCCCAGTTCAGGGGATCTAATGCCCTCTTCTGGCCTCCTTGGGCACTGACTGCATGTATGTGTGTAGATACATACATGTAGACAAAACACTTATACAATGAATATATTTTTTTTAAAAATCTTAAGAACTGGGGCTGGAGAGATGAACCAGCAGTTAAGTGCACTGGCTGCTCTTGCAGAAGATTTGGATTCAGTTCCCAGACACCCACATGGTGGCTAACAACTGTCGTGTCCCAAGGCATCCAACACCCTCTTCTGACCTCCACCAGCACTGCACAACACAGGTGCACTTACTTACATGCAGGCAATACACCATACACATAAAAATAATGTACACATAAAAATAATGTATTTTTAAAGAATATTTTTGCCGAGTGTGGTGGTGCACGCCCTTAATCCCAGCACTTGGGAGGCAGAGGCAGGTGGATCTCTGTGAGTTCAAGGCCAGCCTGGTCTACATAGTGAGTTCCAGGACAGTTGGGGCTACAGACCCTGTCTCAAAAAGACCAAAAAAAAATTTTTTTTAAAAAAGAATTGGGGCTGGAGAGAGCTCAGTGCTTAAGAGCACTGGCTACTCCTGCAGAACACCCAGGTTCAGTTCTTAGAACCCACATAGTGTCTAACAATCTGTAACTCCAGTTCCAGAGAATCTGATGCTCTCCTCTGGTTTCTGTGGGCATTGCATACATGTGGTTCAATCACATACATGCAGACAAACCCTTATAAAATAAAAATTTTAAAGTCTCAACCTCTCAAAAAATTTATGGACTTTGTATTAGAATTGCACATTTGGAGACAGGCATGGTATGATACATGCCTGTCATTCCAATATTTGAGAAGCTGTGCCAAAATGATCTAAGTTCAAGGCCAGCCTAAGCAACTTGGAAAATTTTTAAAAATTAAACTTAAGGGGTTTTTTTGGTGTTTTTTTGTTTTGTTTTGTTTTGTTTTGGTCTTTTTGAGACAGAGTCTCCTTGTAGCCCCAGCTATCCTGGAACTCACTATATAGACCAGGCTGGCCTCAAACTCACAAAGATCTGCCTACCTCTGCCTCCCAAGTGCTGGGATTAAAGGTGTGCGCCACCACACCTGGCGAGTTTACTACTTTTATTTAATGTATGTAATGTATATGAGTGTACATGTGTGTAAATGCATCCATGTCATGCAATGTCTGAAGAGGTCAGAAGGCGGTGTCAGATCCTCTGGAACTGGAGTTTTGGATGCCTGTTAGCCACCATATGGATGCTGGGAATCAAACCCTGGTCCTCTGTAAGAGTAGTCAGTGCTCTTAAACCACTGAGCCATCTTGTAAACTTCGGTTTTTTAAAGGGCAAAGGAGGAACTGGATAGATGGTTCAGTGGTTAAGAGAACTTACTGCTCTTCCAGAAGACCTGGGTTCAGTTCCCAGCATCCACATGGCAGCTAACAGCGATCCATAACTCCAGTGCTCTCTCTGGCTTCCTCTGGCATTGCACACATGGGTGCACTTATACAGGCACTTATGCAGGCTAACACTCATACACATAAAATAAAGGGCGAGTGGCATAGCTCAGTGGTAGAGCACTTGGCTGGTATATCCCCCAGGGTCCTGGGTTCCACTCAAAAACTGCAAAAATAAATAGCATTTAGTTGTGAAGGCTGGGAGAGCAGAGAGGAGCTTTGCATGAAACAGAAAAAGCCCACATTTCCAGTTCTGATTCTTTGTCCAAACTCATTCCACCTATTTAGGAACTATTTACTCATCAATACTTATATAGTAGGCACTTATTCCTTAGGAAGAAATAATAGATAAATAGAAAAAAGAAAAGAAAATGTCAGGAACTAAGTGCTATGAAGAAAGGGAACCAATGGTATGAGCAGGAGGATGCTGAGGTAGCTAGGCCACTTGGAGCTTCTCTGGTGCTATGGGGAGTCAGCATGGTGAGTGAGGTCTGAAGGATCCCGAGGAGCCAGCTTTGCACACCCCTGAGTGAAGCACATCCCAGGCAGGCCAACCAGCACAGGCTCAGGGTGGACACAAACAGCATGGTAAGGAATAGGGTGGCAGGGATAGAGGGTTGGGGAGGGTACCAAAGCTTAGCCAGCAAGGGGGAAATTGTAGGACTGAGATTGGAGCAGTGGTAGCCCCCTGAGCCTCGAATAGCACTAAAGAATGGGTTTTAACCCTCAAGTGGCTTCTGAAGGCCTTTAAGTGAGTGAACACTGGTGGTGCTGCTAATCACCTTCTGCTTCTTCCCCAGCAAAAAAGGGAGAACATGTCTCCACTGTGCCTCATTCCCATGGTGACATCTCCCCGTGAAGAGCAGCAGCTTCTGGCCAGCACCTCCAAGGTGAGGCTCTGGAACTCTGTGGGTTGGGGGTGAATTGGAGGCTGATGACTTCTCCCTGCCTCTTGACTCCTTCCTTCCCCTTTTCCCCCTATAGCCGGTGGTGAAGCTTCTCCACAACCGCAGTAACAACAAGTACTCCTATACCAGGTAACCATGGGGGACGTGTGTGTGTGTATGCACTGAGCAGAGCCCTGCTTCTATTCCAGCGGGGGGCGGGTTATGTCCATATGGAGGGATATGGACATTGTGCCTGAATTCCCCATTCTAGCTGTGTCACCTGCCCATGGGGTATGTGGACAAGTTATTCCGTCTCTAAGCTTCTGTTTGTCATAATTAAGGTTTAGGCCTAGACTAAGTGATAACAGCTAGCATAGCCTGGATCCATATTCCCCAGTAGGATTGCTCTGTGTTGTCTGTTAACTTAGCTCTACTGATGGTCTGAGGAAAGTGTTGATCTGCATCTACAGATGAGATTTCAGCACCAAGAGAGAAAGCAACCTTCCTAATGTCACTCAGTTAAAAAGTGGCAGAGCTGGGATGACAGGTGACAGTCTGGCTGGGAGTCTGCACCAGGAGCCTCTGTGCTGTGCTGTGCTATGATTTGCTCAGCCAGTACTTTCTCTTCTGAGGCCTACTTAGCCAGAAGTGCCCTGCTGGGCAGGACTGGAGTGCTGGGAATCTGGGCCCCCCTGGAGGGAGCGGAAGGTCACCAAGGCCTGCTGGTCCCCAGTACTTCAGATGACAACCTCCTGAAGAACATCGAGCTGTTTGACAAACTGGCCCTGCGTTTCCATGGGCGGCTGCTCTTCCTCAAGGATGTCCTGGGGGACGAGATCTGCTGCTGGTCTTTCTACGGGCAGGGCCGCAAAATCGCCGAGGTGTGCTGCACCTCCATTGTCTATGCCACGGAGAAGAAGCAAACCAAGGTCAGAGGAGGTCAGGGCCTGGTTAGGGAGGGGTGGGAGGTAGGACCAGGACAGGACCCTGGACAGAAGCAGCTCAGCAGGTCCAGCAAGGACTAAGGAGTGCTTCAGTGGCAGTCAGGGGCTAGAGTTCTGGGGTCTTGACTGTGTGATTTGGGCAGGTCACATTACTTCAGTGATGTCCATTTCTCCACCTGTGAAATGAGGCTATTAGATGAGAGTGAGGTTTGATTTTGCTTTGATTTTGGTGCTGGGCTTGAACCCCAGGCCCTACACAGATCAGGATTCTTAATGTGGGCCAACTGAGTGGGTTTCAAGATTATTTACAGTTCCCCGAACAGTATTCAGGTTTGGAATTATGCATTTTTTCTGTATAGGAGGTCTGCAGAGCCAGGAGCAGTGGTAATCGCAGCATTCAGGAGGCTGAGGCAGGAGGATCATGAATTCAAGGCCATTGTGGGCTACACAGTAAAAGACTCTATCAAAAACCAAGAAGAAAGATCCATGATTATCTTTAGAACCTGAGAAGGTCAATTACCAAAGATGAGTTTTTGTTTTGTTCTGGTAATACTCAGGACCTCATGCGATCATGCAGGTGCTGTACTACCGAGTGACTTCCCTACCCTTCATCCTTTTTGGTTTCCTTTGAGACAGGGTCTCCTTGTAGCCCCAGCTGGCCTGGAACTCTCTATGTAGACCAGGCTGGCCTTAGTCTTACAGAGATCCACCTGCCTCTGCCTCCCAAATGCCGAGATCAAAGGTATGTACAACCATGCCCAACTTATTTTGTTTTGAGACAGTCTCACAAAGCTGTACAGGCTGCCCTTGAACTTGCAATTGGCCCGCCTCAGCCTCTCCAGTAGCTGGAAGTATTGACAGGGTCTTAAAACCTGTAGGACCACATGGCTTCTAGTAACATCGAGTTTGTGGCTTCTTGTGAACATGGTAGCCCTTGGCAAATGTTTCTAAGTACCCACTCCATTAGGCACAGCCCAGACTCAACCAAAGGCACAATGTTCTAAATAGGATGCAAGACCCTCCTCTGTGGTCCCTTCTGAACTTGTGACGAGGGATGTTTCCCCTTTCTCTGTCAGCCTAATGAACTTGTACTTTAAGCCTAAGCCAAGCATCATTTTTCTTTGGATATATTTGCTCATGAACTTTGAACCTAACTACCCCAGACAGAGTTGGTTGGTCAAACTCCCTTTTTATCTAAACAATGTTTGCTGTAGCCTGTAGTTTGGGGGCAGCGGTTGCAGGGTAATGCTGCATGTTTTTCTTTCCTGTCTCTCTTAGCATCAGCCTGGTAAAGGGCACAGAATGAATGCCCCAGATTCCAGGAGGGTTTTTTTTTTCCTGCAAAAACAGGAAGACACAAATCATTAGACTGTAGCTTAAGAGGAGGATGTAGTGGTACACACCTGTAATCCCATCTACTTGGAAGGCTGAGGCAGAAGGATTTTAAATTCAAGACCATCCTAGGCAACGTAGCGAGATCCTGTCTTAAAATTAAATCACTAATAAATAAGGGTGTAGGTGTAGCTCAGTGGTAGAAATGCATGAGGCTCTGGGCTCAGCCCTCAGCACTGCAAAGAAGGAAGGGTGGGCTACGTTCATCATATTCTTCCAAGACCATCATGGAGGACCACTTTTGCCACTTCATTCCTTTCTGGTCTCTTTCATCATTTCATCTCAATGATATTTCTAGGAATATTCCTTACTGAGCTTTTACACTTCTTGTAGCCCCTCTGGTCTGTTTTCTCTAGCTGTCTGCTTTCTTCCTTTTGGTCAAACATCACGTTCTCAACAGGGTCTTCTCTAAACTCCCTCTTCAAAGATAAACCACTCCTAGCAAAGGACATTCTATCTCCCTTTCCTTCACTAGCTTTCTGCATAGCGTGTCATCATATGATTTAGTGTATATTTCAGGAATTGTGTGTTTGAGGTCCCCCCCCCCCGCACTTCCAACTTGTCTACGGCAGCCATTTTTATTCACTGCTATATTCTCAGTGTCCAGAACAACCCCTGGGATCATGCCATCACTCCAGATTTGTCAGGTGAAAGAACAAACCAAGAGACTGGGCAGTAACAAACTACCCTAATACCTAACTTAGAGCCTGGGTATATGTGGGTGGGGGTTGGGGGGGACACAGCAGCTACCAGGGAAGGGTTATGGAAGTGGACCAGAGAGTAGGAGCTGGGGGTTGCTGCTTTTGCAGGTGGAATTCCCTGAGGCTCGGATCTTCGAGGAGACACTGAACATCCTGATCTATGAGACTCCCCGAGGCCCAGACCCAGCCCTCCTGGAGGCCACAGGGGGTGCAGCAGGAGGTAGTGGGGCAGGCCGAGGGGAAGATGAAGAGAACCGAGAACACCGTGTCCGGAGGATCCATGTCCGTCGCCATATCACCCATGATGAACGTCCTCATGGCCAACAGATTGTCTTCAAGGACTGACCTTTGCCCCAGCTCCTACCTTCCTCTTGCTTTCCTCTCTTGTCCCGACTCTGCTGGCCAAGTCGGGTCTTTCCCCTTCATTGCATGCTATGGCTCAGTGTGGCCCTTTCCATCTCTGTCCACTCACTGGTAACACGGTACATTCCAGCATGCCTCTCACTCAGAGCTCTTCAAAAAGTCAACACCCCTTCCACCACATCCTTTTCCTGCTATCATTCCCTCATGAGCTGGTTTATTGATGTAGAATTCTCTTTTGTTACTACATTGAACACCAAACATGAAGTGAGCCTCAACAACCACTGACCACATTCCAAGCTGCCTTCCGTCATGCACACGGTAGTTTGCCTGCCTCCTGTCCATCTTTCTCCCTACCTCCTTAACTTTGTACTAGGCTGGCCTGGACCTGTACCAGCTCAGCTATCTTGATCTATTTCATATTATTTATTATTTTAATTTTCTATTGAATTATTGGAATAAAGTCGAGTTGAGGGTCTACTGCTGACTCTCAGGGTAAGGGATGGTAATCAGATGGCTTGTGTTAAGGAGATGCTAAGCTGTTAGTATGGCAGAAAGCAAATCCCTGCCCCAAGCTCTAACCTAGGGCTGGTAGCTGGGAAGGAAGGAGTCAGTAGGAGAGGATTCAGAATTTGTATTTCAGTGCTGGCTGGTTAAATCCCACCCCAGCACCCTCCCATCCCTTCACAGTGGGGAAGAGGTCTTCACCACCCAAACTGTTGTTGAGTGCAGCATCATTCCAGCTCAGGTGCCAGAAGGGAGCGAGCACCTTCTTTCAAGGGTCTGGTGCGAAGACAAAGTCGAGGGCCTGGCGTTCAGCCCCAGCCACGTTGGGGTGCCAGAGGTCCACAATGAAGACCACTCGAGGCCCATCTTCGGGGGATCCTAGGGTAAACAAAGCAGGTGAGGTCAAGTACTTCTCTGTCAAGGCATTTACATCAGATACTCACAATGTCAGGCCCTGTTCTGGATTTGGTTTTGTTTTTTGAGGCCGGGTCTCATAGCTCAGGTCCATGAACTGGCCACCCTCCACCTTCTGCCTCCGAGCGCAGATAATGAGATTACAGGCAAGTGCATCACATCTGATACTCTCGCCCTGTGAACTCAGCAGAAACTAAGGCAGTACCTTCCTTACCCATTTTATACAGTAATTGAGGCCCGATAAGGTGAAGTATCATGTCCAGGATCCCACAGCAAGAAATAGGACAGGAACCCAGGCAGTGTAGCCCAGAGTTCTGTGCTGGTAGCCACATCCTATGCCATATGCATGCACTTGATGAGGAAGGCAGATGCCCCACAAGTGATTAGAGGAGTTGTGATTTGCCCAAGGTGCAGCCCCTGAATGGTGCAGCAGAGATGGCAGGTTGTCTTCAACCTGTTGTGTAGCCCTCTAGACTCAGCTTTTCTCTCACCCCCAACTCAGCAGAATGGGAGCTCTGTTACCATTGTGAGCCACTGTGTGCAAGAAGGAGTCGTCCACCAGGAGGCAGTGCCCCTCAGCCCAGCACTGAGGCTCACCACCAACCACCAGTTCGCAGCCAGGGGGGATCTTCAGGCCTGTGAGAAAAGAATGGGTGTCCAGCACTCCCGCCTGTGTTCAAGGGACCACCCACTCAGCAGGCCTTAAAGCCAGGTTCTGTGGTCCCTCTTGGTTCTCAAAGATGACGGGAGTATAATCACAATACAGTGCTGTATGATAGAAATGTAAGCCAGGCATGGTGGCACATGCCTTTAATCCCAGCACTTCAGAAGCAGAGGCAGGTGGATCTTTGTGAGTTCAAGGCTAGCCTGGTCTACATAGACAGGGAGACCTTAAGACCAAAAACAGATTGGGAAGGTGCACAGTTGTCATTTTGGAGAAGGAAGACCCCCTTGAGCAAATGCCATCTCCTGGGCTTCCTGAAAGCTTAGCTCCTCCCCATGAGGTATGACTGACCCCATCTTGATCCTAAGACCCCAGTTGAGTATGATGAGAAAATAGCCACCAACTCTGATGGAAACAGGAAGCCATCCCAGAGGAGATGTGACACTTGAGAACTCCTTAAGGCTGAGTGGGCATTTCCTAAGGCAGTACTAGGGGAAGGTGATTTAGAGAGAGGTAGGAGTAGAGGGAGGAAAGGATTTGGACTGGATTCTAATGCCATTGTGCCCCAAATATGACACATCCAACTGGCAGCAGAGATTTGGGATTTACCCTTTCAATCTTCAGAACATCAGAAAGAAAATCTCAGGTGGATGTTCCTGGAACTTTAACGTTCCATCTAACAGTGTTGCTTTGTTAATAAAGAAGCTTAGAGTATCTCACTAGAATGCTTAAGGCTTTTTTAAGAAATAAGGTCATAGCCGGGTGTGGTGGTGCACGCCTTTAATCCCAGCACTTGGGAGGCAGAGGCAGGCAGATCTCTGTGGGTTGGAGGCCAGGTTGGTCTCCATTAGCGAATCCAGGCCAGCTGTGGCTACAGGGAGACCTTGTCTCAAAAAGACCAAAAAATTAAAAAAAATTTAAAAAATGAAAAGGTCAAGACCCAGGCTTGTCTTAAATCTGGGATCCTCCTGCCTCAGCTTCCCAGACGCTGAGAGTACAGCCACCACCACCATGCTCTGATTCTATAAAATTTCCCTTTCAATAATAAAAGCAGGGGCTGAGGGAATGGAGAGATGGCTCAATGGTTAAGAGTACTTCCTGCCGGGCATGGTAGCGCCCGCCTTTAATCCCAGCACTCAGGAGGCAGAGGCAGAGGCAGGTGGATCTCTGTGAGTTCGAGGCCAGCCTGGTCTACATAGTGAGTTCCAGGACAGCTGGGGCTACAGGGAGACCCTGTCTCAAAAAAGATCGAAAAAAAAAAAAAGAAAGAGTACTTCCTGTTCTTACAGAGGACCCAGGTTCGGTTCCCAGCACTGATGTGGCAGCTCACAGCCATCCATAACTCGGGTTCCAGAGGAATCCATCACCCTCTCCTGGCCTCTGAGGGCACCAGGCACACATGAAGTGTTACATACATACATTTGGGCAAACACAAAATTTTACAGATCTTTGGAGAGAAAAACCACAAATGTGGGGACCGAGTGAGAATCCAGGTGAACAAGAACAGGTGGCCAGTGCCAGGCACCGCTTATGAAGATGATTTGCATGTAAGTGGAGCTCAGGAAATCCTGCTGTGGAAGATTTTTGAGAAGAAATACATTATGGGAACCATGGTGCAGAAAGACTCTGACAGAGAAGAGGGCGGGGAGGAGGAATTGTGTGGGCCAGAGGTTGCCTATGGACAGAATCTACTTACCCAGATGGCATCTGACTCGAGCATTGGTGGGCCCACAGCGGCCCTCAAGCCGGGCCCCAGGCAGGAGAACAGAAAAGCCAGCATTGCCGAATGTATTAGCACTCATGAAGCTTCGCAGCCCCCTGAGTGCCCGATAAGCTCCCGGACACCGTCGGCAGTTGCTGGGTTGGCACCGGCCTGCTTGGTACAGCAGGAGCTGGTAGCACCCAGGGGCCAGGGGTGGGGACCAGCCGCGAGGCAGAGGGGTAGTCCTTGAGAAGTCCCAGCTCACGGCCCCAAAGTCCCGCAAAATGGCGGGGAAGCTGCTCTCTAGGAGCTCCACGTCATGCCGTTGGGCATCCCGTGGCACAAAGGGTGCTGAAGGCAGGTCTGGTAGGAAAAGCAGGCCTGGGCGCTGAATACCCAGCACCCCTGTCCCTCCTGGGAGGCCTGGGCCTCCCTGAGCCGCCCGCCTCACTCTTCCCATCCCAGCCCAGGAGTAGCGCCTGGCGTAGGCCCGAAGCCGCCTGCTCACTAGGCCTTCTGTCCTGGGTCCTTCCCTTGGATCCCCAGAGCCCCTTGGGCCTAGTCGGCCAGTCTCAGGGCATCCACCAGCCCCACTGACACCCCCAGCTCGGCTCCCAGCCCCCAGGGCCTGCATGTCTTGGGAGCCCAGGCGGTAGCAGTACCAGAGGAACAGGGAAGTGAGGGCTCCAAGGAGCAATGTAAGAGCTGAGGAGGCCAGGGGCAGCGGCCATGGAAGCATAGTAGGCAAGGATGCCCTGGCCAAGAGCCCTGGGGCATCTTCCAGACCCCAGCTCCCTTGTCCCCCCAACTCTGCACCTGCCCCCTCAATGACTGCTTCCTGGTTCCCCCCCTTCCACATTCCCACTGCGGTCGCTCCTTCTCTCCTGATGAGGACTCTGCACTGTTCCCCTCCTTCAGGGCCCCCAACTCTCCTTTACTTTCCCCTAGCTCGACCTCTTCTTTCAGCCTCCACTCAGATCTCTGGTCCTCCCACTCTCCCCTCTCTCTTTCTCCTCTCTCTCGGCCCTCCCTCCCACTCAATCTCCCGCTCTCCTCCCTCCACTCCACCCTGCCCCTCCTTTCCCTGTCTCTTCCCCTTCTGGGTGCTAGCTTCCAGGGAGAGCAGCTCCTACCCCACCTGGACCCGGGACCCCGCAGCCTGTCCTCGGTAGCGGCTTCTTTCTCCTTCTTCCCTCCTCTCCTTCTTGCCCTTCTTCTTACTCAACCCAACCCGCTGGTCCTTCCTCTCCGGTTCCCTCTCTCCTACACAGCCTGGGCTCCCACTCACCCTGACGTCACTCCTTCCCGCAGCTCTCTGTGCTTAGCTACCCAAGACCCCTCCCAGAGGCTGCCGCAACTCGGCCCCGGGGGGAGGGGATGCCCCTCTCTGGATTTGCCTCCTTCGCCCCCGCCCCATCCCTGACAGAGCTCCACGTGGGGCACAGGGGGCACCGTGCCAACCTCCAGCCGCCCTGCAATGCGAAAAGAAGGGCGGAGCAATCAAGGGGCGGGGCGAGCATGCGGACCCACCGGCCCAGCCGGCGCTCCGGCACTGCAGCCGGGACGCCACCGCCAGTCCGTCGGCCTGCAGGTCCCTAGAGAAGTCGGCCTGGGACTCCCCTTCTCCTGGATGAGCCTTCCCAGGACCCAGCACCGGGCGCGAGGATGGCTAGTGGGCGGCTGCAGCCAAACGCGGGCAGCGCTGGCAGCCCGAGCAGACGGGGCGGAGAGGAGCTGTCCGCACACCCTGGTGCTGAAAGGGGCGCAGGAGGCAGCCCTGAAGAAAACCAGTGCAAGCCGCCCGGCCACTGGTAGCTGTCACACCGTGTGTAAGAGGAAGGGGCTCTCCACCCGGGCTCTCAAGCCATCACCCCTCAGACTTCTTGCAAACGTGGAAGCTCCCCTTTTCCTGGGGAGGGGAAAGCCCATCCCACCTGTAAAAGGCAAAGTGAAGTCCCTATGTCCGCATGTGGACAGAGGACATATTGCAGGGGCCAGGAAGGCGCCAAGTGGTGTCGCCCCTCGGCGCCCTAGAAAGTGGAGACTGAGATTCCAGATGTGCTGAAACGGCGCCGGGGGAGGTAGGGGGAGCCTAATTACTGCTGGGACCTGAGTTTCCTTTCGCTCTCCTGGGGGCCGCGGAGTGAGGTTTACGGACCTGGCTCGGGATCCCTCCTTCCTCCATCTGCACTTCTCCTCCTCCCTCGTCGGCGAATAAATCCTAGGCCCCTCCCTTCGCCCGTCCCCAGGATCTGACGTGGGCTCGACACCTTTCTCAGCTTCTCCCTCCCGCAGCTCCAGTGCCCGAGCTTCGGCTCCCCCGGTTCCCGCAACCGCTTCTTTTTTCCCCTCCCCAAGCCCCAGTAGAACCCAGCAAGGACCCTCTCGGTCCTCAATCCCTCCCTGGGCTCCCAGAAGCTGCTTTTCTCCTCCCCATTGCCTGGGGCTTGCTAGCCATCCACCCCCAAGGACCCAGGCCCCTGAACAAGAGAATAACCTTCGGCCTTCTCGGCCCCACCCCCCGCAGCCGGAGCCGCGCCCCCCTTTACCGTAGATCCGGGAGCAAAAGGAGGTGGACTCCAAGCAACCCCTAGCCCAATTCTCTCCTCCATCCCAAAGGGCAGCAAAATTGTCTTCCTTTGCTGACCCCTAGCAGGAAAGCAGAATTAAAGGGAAAGATAAAAGGACCCGGAGGGAAAGTGACACCTAGATTATTCTGGAGAAACACAGGAGAGAAATTAGGGTGAGTCGCCATGGGTACTCCCTGGGCCCAGCACCCGCCGCCTCCCCAGCTGCTGTTCCTAATTCTGCTGAGCTGTCCCTGGATTGAGGGTAAGGACATGAGGGTGTGGGAGTGGGCCCAGGGAAGGCCCCTAGGGGGTCCTCCACCTTCTTTTTCTGAACATATTGTATCGCCCGAGCTTGTGGGGGAGGGGAGGGGCACAGCTGACGGGGAAGGCGCAAGCGAGGGCTTTCTGGCTGGTACTTGGTGTCCCTTACAGCCCAATATCAAGGAGATGGGGAAACGGAGAAGGGGAGCTTTTAACTGTGTCTTAGGGGTTAAATCCAGGAAGAAGAGCTGGGGAAGTTGGGTGGATGTCTGCGGAGGCGGCAGAAGCACGCAGGGTACCTGGGAGGGAGATGGAGGTGCTGGGGAAGATGCCAGGCTCTTCACACAGATGTTCTTGGACAAATGGACAAAGGCAGATGAACACAAGCAGGGATATTTAGTCTCTGATTCCACTCTAGGGAAGGCATCAAGAGACTGGAGAGAGAGAGAGAGAGAGAGAGAGAGAGAGAGAGAGAGAGAAACAGCTATACTGCAGAGACAGAAACCCAGAGAGAAAGCCATGCACTGCGGAAGCACGGGCTGGGGGGTGCTGCCAGACCCTCTTCAGAGTCTGAAGATTGGGGTAAGGCATCACTGAGGAGAAAAAGAAAGCACTCCCAAAGCCCCTGCTCTGCGCTCACTGCTGTCCAGGGTTAAGGCCCTCACTGAAGGAGAGCTAGGGGCAGGGAGTACAAAGAAGAGGGCAGCTGGGAGTCTTTCCTCCCATCTTTTCTCTCAGCTCAGCCTGAGACCCTCTGAGCCCGGCAAAGAACTGCTCTGGTAAAGATGTCTCAGGAGAAGGAAGAGATGTAGGGAATGGAGAGGCTCACACGACTTCACCTCCTAGGTCTGCCCCTGAAGGAGGGTGAGACACAGCCAGAGCCTGGAAGTGAGTCTCCCACAGTGGCCTCTGAGGACCTGGCTGAGCTGCTCCATGGGACCCTGCTGCGGAAGGGCCCAGAGATGGGCTACTTGCCGGGTGAGGCCCCCAGAGTGGCATACAAGTACAGAGAGAGACATATCTCTTGGAAATGGGAAGAGTGAGGCAGGAGGAGAGAGGATACAGAGGGGGCAAGGCTCTTCTAGAAAGCCAGTGAAATTCAGAGAGAAGCAGGTGGAAAAAGAATCAAATCTGGACATAGACAGAACCAGAGAACTAGGGATGGAGAGAGTAAAAGATAGGTTTTTTTAAAAAAAAAGGTTATGCCCAGAAAGAAAGATGGGAACTCAGAGAACTAGAATCAGAAACTGTGAGAGAAAAAGTGTGAAATACAACTAGCAGATTCCAGTTGGTCTAGGATCATAAAATCAGAGAGCAATAATACTGAACAGAGAAAGAGCTCCAGAGAGAGCAAGACAGCTGAGAGATTTCTCTAGCTAGGCAGGAGAGAAAGCCAGATCTGAGTGGGGAGGGGGCAGGGAGAGTCACAAAGGGGCTATCAAGACTGTGGGGGAAAAGAGAGCTTCAGCTACAAAAGCTTGAGAGGAGGTGGGGAGCATGGGTGGATAAGGGAAAGTGGGAGCCTTACCTTATGGGGAGGCTTTGGGGTTCAGCTTTCCTTCTACCCTGTTCCCTACCCCCATGGGCTAATTTGCTGCTCCTGTGCCCTGACTTCCCTTGCACTATGCCAGGATCTGACCCAGACCCCACACTAGCCACCCCTCCAGCTGGACAGACTCTTGCGGCACCCTCCCTGCCATGGGCCACTGAGCCAGGGACAGGGCCTCTGACGACAGCTGTCACCCCTAAGGGGGTCAGGGGGGCAGGCCCCACGGCACCAGAACTGCTGACCCCACCCCCTGGAACTACAGCCCCACCCCCACCTGGCCCAGCCTCCCCAGTCCCACCCCTCAGGCCTGAGGGAGGAGAGGAGGAGACCACCACCACCATCATCACCACAACAACTGTCACCACTACTGTCACCAGCCCAGGTGAGGTTATGGAAAGGGCATGGAAGCACCCATGTGGGAAAGGAGCATGCTGGGAATGGATGGGGGAGAAACTGCCTGGGAGGAGAAGCTTTAGGTATAGGCACCTCTGCTTAGTAAAGATAAAGGCCAGCACTTACATGCATTATACTTAGGGAAGGGAAGGAGGTCTCAGTACAGATAGAGAGGGAGCATGCATTGTTGAGGGGCAGAGGGAAGAATACAGATGACTTCTCTAGCTTCTTGGCTGGGAGGGCAAGAGCACAGGGCCTCTCTCAGTCCAAGCTGTTTATTTCTCTTTAGTTCTGTGCAATAACAACATCTCTGAGGGTGAAGGCTTTGTGGAGTCTCCAGATTTGGGGAGTGCTGCCAGCCGCTCCCTGGAGCTTCTGGACTGCACCTACAGTATCCATGTCTACCCTGGCTATGGCATTGAGATCCAGGTAACTTTCCTTCCCTGCCCATTGAGTGTGCCCTAGTTTGGTCTAGGAACTAGAAAGCCTGGTTTCTGACTCAGATGATCTCAAAAACTCTTCTAGAGTTCTACAACATGGGCAGCTTACCAGAGGGTGGGAGGCTTAGGCTGTCATGCCATCCTGCCCGCTGCTGACTTGCCCTGGCCTGCCTGTATCTGGCTTCTCTAGGTGCAGACACTGAACCTGTCTCAGGAGGAGGAGCTCCTGGTGCTGGCTGGTGGGGGGTCCCCTGGACTGGCCCCCAGACTGCTGGCCAACTCCTCCATGCTGGGAGAAGGACAAGTCCTTCGGAGCCCAACCAACCGGCTGCTCCTTCATTTCCAGAGTCCCCGAGTCCCAAGGGGCGGTGGCTTCAGGATCCACTATCAGGGTGAGGAGTCTGAAGTGCCAGTAGAAGGGCAAGGGACACGTGGGATGCAGAGGCCATCTACAGGGCCTTTCTAAGCATTGGGGGGAGAATTTTCCTCCTGCCTGGCCTCCTGCAGAGGCAGGACCAGCAGAAGATACTCAAGCATACTTACCTCACATGCTCACAGATGTGTGGCTAGGTGTGGACAAGTCCAAGTAGCTACTCATAAAACATTGAATGTCTCCTTCATACAGGAACATTTATTGACTGTCTCCATCACACCTCTGTTGGCCTTAGGGAAAATAATGAATAAGCTGGGTATAAATTTGACTTTAAGGAGCTCAAGATCTGGGTAGAAGCAGACCAGGAATGGAGATGGATTTGTCAATGAGATAAGGGGCTATGATGGAGGAAATGCAGGCAGAGGGAGCAAATATTAAGGGGCCTAAATCTCTTCTAGGGAATATAGGAATGGCTTCTTGGAGGAGGTGCGACTAAGCTGAGTTAGAATGAGTTGGCTAGGGGAAGGGTGGGAGGAAGAAGTTGGGGGCAACTGTCTAATGGACAGGGAAGTGCATTCCAAGAGTCAGAGAGGAAAGAAAATGTGACCCTTGGAGAAGGCCATGTAATTCAACATGGAAGACAGAATTGTCTTCGCTGTGTGATATGAGACAATTTATTTATCCTTTCTGTGCCTCATGGCTCCATCTGAAAAAGAGATGAGTACTTACTGCATAGTATTGTTAGGAAGAGAAAATGAGTTAATACCTGTTGAGTATTTAAAACAGTGTCTGGGCTGGGCATGGTGGCACACGCCTTTAATCCCAGCACTCGGGAGGCAGAAGCAGGCAGATCTCTGTGAGTTCAAGGCCAGCCTGGTCTACATAGTGAGTTCCAGGATAGCTGGGGCTACAGGGAGACCCTGTCTCAAAAAGACCAAAAAAAAAAAAAAAAAACCAGTGTCTGAACAATGCCAGTCATTGGCCCCAGAGTTGAGGCGTAGAAAGTAGTGAAGGAGAAGGAACAAAAGGCAACACTGGGAAGCAGGGAGGAGCTCAGTGGCAAGTTCAGATTCATTTGCAAGAGGGAGACAGTTGGATGTTGTAAGCAGGAAAGTGACAGTTGCAGATCTGTGATTTAGACAGAGCTTTCTGAAATATGGAGGCAGGAAAGGAAGCATATGTGATGTATCTACACACAGATGAGCTACACATGTGAGCATCCATGCTATCCAGTGTGTAGGAAACTTCCCATAATGCACATGTATTTTCTAGCACACATATGCGTGCATGAGCCAAGGGACTCAGCCAGTGTCCCCTTACAGACACTGTTGTCTTCTCCAAAGTTCCTCTGTGTAGTCCTCATAAACAGGAGCCACTGTCCCTATGCATCCCTTCACAGTGTTTCTTGGCTTCATGCAAACCCCTCCCCCTGTGAGCTTGTCTGACCCCAGACACACACACACTCCGACCTTGGCTGACCTCAGACACCTTGTGCATCTTATCCAGGACATAGGCCATCTCCTTTCCTCATGACCTCTGCCCAAGACTTGCCCTGTGGGTATATTGTGCAAGGCAAGAGTGCCCATCACCATGCCTATTGGAGAGACCAGTACTTTGTGGCAGGAGCCTGGTTGTTGGAGGCGAGAACATGCCTTAGAGCCAAGGGCTAAAAATCAGATATTAAAAAAAAAACCCTACTGGGCATGGTGGCACATGCTTTTAACCCCAGCAGGCAGAGGCAGGCGGATCTCTGTGCATTCAAGGCCAGCCTGGTCTACATATATAGTGAGTTCCAGGCCAGCTGGGCCTACAGGGAGACCTTGTCTCAAAAAAGACCAAAAACAAAACAAAACAAAACAAAAAACCCAAAACCCCCAGCTACTCACTGACTCCTTTAAGCCATTTCCCCAGGGCATCAAAAATAGGGCTCGTAGGCCATGTGGGACACTGAGGGGAGCAGAGCTGTGTGAAGCGGCCTTCACTACCTGTCTCAGCCTTCCCTTTGCAGCTCTGCAGGCATATGATTAACATATCTTAGGACAGAGACACTATTTAGGTCCTACTTAACTGCTGTAATTGTGGCTCATGTCTACAGTGCCTTCCTTAACTACTCCAAATGGTCTGAGCCCAGCAAATTTGCCCATATGCAAAGTCATTTCACCAACCGTTGCTTCTTTCCCTGGCTTCTCACAGTAACCCAGGGAGGGGTCTTGTCAGCTCAGAGGAGCAAGAAAATTTGAGGCTGTGTGGCATTCTCAGCCACCTGAAACTTCATTGCATAGTCAGAAATCAGATCCCCAAGTCTCTGCCTTCTGGTCTTTCCTTAAATGAGGGTGGAGGGATGATTGGCATATCTGCATACCTTGGGGGAGGTCCTTAGCATGTTTGTTTTCAGACAGGGTTTCCTGTAACCTAGGCTGGTCTGAAATTCACTATGTAGCTAAGTTTAGCCTTGAACTTCTGTTCCTCCTGCCTCTACCTCCTCAGTGCTGGTATTACAGACCTAGTTTATATGAAGCTAAGGATTAACCCAGGGCTTTTTGCATGCTAGGCAAGCACTCTACCAACTGAGCTACATCCCTGCTCTTTAGTTTCAAAATTTGTTTGAAAATTTAAAAATTTTCAAAAATTTCAGGTCAATCCTCACTAATAGGAATTATTAATATTTAGTGACAGATACCCCTTACCACAACCCCAGTCACCTGCTCAGTCATTCAGTCTCATAGTAATAATAGGCAATGGGTAATATGGTGGCAAAATTCAACATGTAGAATTGTATACAGGCAAGAGTTCAGTGGAACATGAAGTTATCAAGGCTTTTCCTAGAAGGAGTGGTTCTTAAGTTACTCTGTGAAAGATCAGAAAGAATCTTGTAGCCAGGCATGGTGGCGCACGCCTTTAATCCCAGCACTGTGGAGGCAGAGGCAGGCGGATCTCTGTGAGTTCGAGGCCAGCCTGGTCTCCATTAGAGAATCCAGCCCAGCTGCGGCTACAGGAAGACCTTGTCTCAAAAAAAAAAAAAAAAAGAAGCATGACATGAGCAAAAACATGGAGGTGGACTGGGCATGGTAGTGCAAGCCTGTAAGTCCAGCTCTCTAGAGGCTAAAGCAGGAAGATTAAGAATTCAAAGCCAGTCTGGGCTACATAATGAGACCTTGAATCAAAAAAGCCAGGGGTAGCTGGGTATGGTAGTATACACCTTTCAGTCCCAGCACTCAGGAGGCAGAGGCAGGTGGATCTCTGTGAGTTTGAGGCCAACCTGGTCTATATAGCGAGATCCAGGCTAACCAGGGCTATGTAGTGAGACCCTGTCTTAAAACAAAACAAGACACAGGGATTAGTTCAGTGATAATTTGCCTAGCATGTACAAAGCCCTGGATTTAATCCAACCAACAGTGTGGGAAAAATGGATGTGGGACATTAAGGAATCACAGACTGCTGTGTAGGCTGTCTCAGGTGCTGAATACAACCCTAAGGCTTGGCTAGACCCAGTTATGGAAGGGACTAGAATATCAAGCTAATGTATTTAGACTTGATTCTGTTGACCATAAAGGGCCAGCACAGAGGCTAATATTTACTGAAACTGCCATGTCCTATGGTTCTTTTGGGGGGTGGGTTGGTTGGGATTTGTTGGTTTTTTTTTTTTTTTTTGAGATAGGGCTCACTGTGTAGCCCAGGCTGTCCTGGAACTCCCTACGGAGACCAGGCTGGTCTTGAACTCACAGATATCCACCTGCCTCTGCCTCTCAAGTGGTGGGAAAGGCACATGCCACACCTAGCTTTACAGTTGTTTTTATATCTACTTATCTCAGTATGTCTGGGGATGCTAGAAAGGCAAGGTACAGTAGTTTTTGTTGTTGTTACTGTTATTTTTCCCCCCTCTGTCCCCACAGCCTAGCCAAAGAAATCTTTAATGAATTTTGAAATTTGAAAGGGAAGGGGTCTCTGACAGAATCACTGAAGGCTAGAGAGTCTGGAAAGGCAAAAGCTTAAACAGAGCTGGTGTTTGCCATGCTCTCTGCTAACTAGAGCTTGCCCCTCTTAGTAGACACAGCCTTGGAAGCTGGGCATGGTGGTACAGCTCTCTGGAGGCTGAGGCAGGAGAACCAAAAGATTAAGACCAACTTGGGCTCAAGACAAAACAGAAGAAGCCTCAAAAAGACTATAAGCAGTAGTTATATAGAATGTGTAAGGGGAAAATGACACCAGGGAACACTTGTTAGTGGTAGAAGCCATTTGGATGTGGGTAGACAGACCATTGTTGCTAGGTAAAAGCCCTAATCTGAGCTGCAGAACCAGTGCAAAAAGGGATGTTGCATAGAAAGAAGACAGACCAGTTTGTCAAAGAAAGTAGAATTTTACTTCACACTTCATTTTCACTAGGGATTAATTTAGGGGGCACTGGACATTAAGGGCTTTAATGACACAATTCCTAAAGAAGTTTCATGTGGCTATCTGCCTGAAAGCTGAATATGGAAGAAAATCTGTGAAAGAAAATGCTACAAGGCACTTCCTAAGTGGGAGCCTTGATAGCCACATCTAGAAAATGGGTCACATGGTCTTCCTCTGCCTTCACCTAAAAGACTGTGTAAACTTACTTGGAAAGTTGAACAAACTCTGAAAATACTATTTCTTATTACAGCTGATGGAATTCAGGGTAGTCAGTTACTTTGCTTGAAGTCACGCAGCCATTGAGTACCAGGGTCCAAAATAGCTGCTTTATCTATAGAGACCTATGGGTAAATTACAAAGGCTACAATAGATAAGGGTGCTGAGATTGCCTCTTCTTGAAACCATGTATAAGGAGTTCTTGTCTTCATTTTGGTTGGCAGCATCAGCCTGTTTGTTCCCTGGAAGGACGGGACTGATGTGGGGTTGGGGGTGAGGAATGGGTGTGAGAGGTTGGTGTGGGACAAGCCCTCCTTCCTTCCCCCTGCCTCGTCTGTCCAGCTTACCTCCTGAGCTGTGGCTTCCCACCCCGGCCAGCCCATGGGGATGTGAGTGTGACAGATCTACATCCTGGGGGCACTGCCACCTTCCACTGTGACTCAGGATACCAGCTGCAGGGTGAGGAGACACTTATCTGCCTCAATGGCACGCGGCCAGCCTGGACTGGTGAACCCCCCAGCTGCACAGGTGAGTCTCTTGCTGAAGGGCTTCTGTTCTGGGGGAGGGGTACTGAGCTAGGAGTCTCCATCTTTGAGGGAGAAGCTATCCTGAGGGAGTTCCTAGCTGCAGAGTCTCTGTCCTGGGATCTCCCCTGGAGCTCTCTACTATGAGGGTTTCCATCCTCCAGGAATCTCCATCCTTGGGGAGCCTCGATCCTTGGCTGACCTCCTTCTGGAGCTTGCCATCTTGTCACCACTCTGGAGGTTCTTTCTTTTTGGAGTCCTCATCTCCAAGGGAGCCATTTTTTAGGGTCCCTGGCTGATGGATCTTGATCCTACAGTCTTCATCCTGCCCCTCTGCCCCAACTGATAGTGTATGCATTCTAGAAATTACTACCATAAGGCTTCTCCTCTGAGTTTTCATTTTGGGGTTCCCTCTCTCAGTGTGTCCACCTCTGGGCAGTCTCCACTTTGGCAGGTTCTCCATTGTGAAGGGTTCTTGTTCAGGGCTGTTTGCCCTCCTGAATGGCAGCCTGGAGAAGGTCTTATCCCTCAACTAAGGCCATGGGGCAGGAGCCATCCCTGGCCAGCTCTGGAGATGGGCCTGAGAAGAGCTGAGGTTCCCAGGGGAAGGACAGGTCATTTGAGGCTGGCCTTCCTGCCCCCTCCTCTGCCTACAGCATCCTGTGGTGGCATCATCCACAATGCCACACTGGGTCGAATCGTGTCTCCTGAGCCCGGGGGAGCCGCAGGGCCTAATCTCACCTGCCGCTGGGTCATTGAAGCAGCTGAGGGACGCCGGCTACACCTGCACTTTGAGAGAGTCTCACTGGATGAGGACAATGATCGGTGAGAGTCAGAGGTCCTCACCTTGGGAAAGGGGTGGGGGGGGGCTTCAGTAGGGAATCACATGGTTCTGGGATGGATCCTCTGTCAAGCAGAGTTTTGGCTTAACTCTGTTTTAGAGAATGTAGCAGTGCAACCTTAGATGAGTCACTGAATCATATGGTACCTCAGTTCTCTTGTCAGTAGAATGGACATCATAGTATTCTTCCAAATGCTTACATAATAAATGCATTAAGATATGTAAAGTAGGGACTGGAGAGATGACTCAGTGGTTAAGAGCATTGGTTGCTCTTGCAGAGGCCCTGGTTTGATGGTTTGATTCCCAGCATGGACATGGTGGCTAACAACAATCTGTAATTCCAGTTCCAGGGGATCCAATGCCCTCTTCTGACCTCTGTGGGCATTGCACAACATGGGTGCACTTACACACATGCAGGCATTACATTCATACACATAAAATAAAAATAATAAAAAAATTTTAAAGATACGTAGCTGAAGCTGGGCGTGGTGGTGCACGCCTTTGATCCCAGCACTCAGGAGGCAGAGGCAGGCAGATCTCTGTGAGTTTGAGGCCAGCCTGGTCTCCATAGTGAATCCAGGCCAGTTAGGGCTACAGGGAAACCCTGTCTCAAAAAGACCAAAAAAAAAAAAAAAAAAAAAAGATACGTAGCTGGGTGTGGTGGTGCACACCTTTAATCCCACCACTCAGGAGGCAGAGGCAGGTGGATCTCTGTGAGATTGAGGCCAGCCTGGTCTATATAGTGAGTTCCAGGCCAGCTGGTGCTGCAGGGAGACTCTGTCTCAAAACAAAACAAGACAAAACAAAAACAAAAAGATGTGTAAAGTAATTAAGTGGTGCTTAGGATGGGACAAGCACTGTAAATGTGTGCTGTCAGCATTTTCTATATCGCTCTTTGTCTAAAAATGTGATATCCCAGCTCTATAGTGTGATCTTGGGCTGAGTACTCACTCAGTCTTTCTCTGCCTTTTAGCCTCATCTATAATAAGGGGCAATAATAGTGTCTGACTCAAGAGTCCTTGTAAAGATCAAACAAGATAAAATGTGTTGTGGCTTAGAAAAGTGCATGGTATATGGCTAATGTTTGATAATAGCAGCTATAAAGATAAGCTTGGGGACCGGGCAAGGCAGCTTCCAAGGGGAAATGCTCCTGCCACCCTTCTGTGCATCCCAGGTTGATGGTACGCTCAGGGGGTAGTCCCCTGTCCCCTGTGATCTATGACTCTGACATGGATGATGTCCCTGAGCGTGGTCTCATCAGTGATGCTCAATCCCTCTACGTGGAACTGCTTTCAGAGACACCTGCCAATCCCCTGCTGCTCAGCCTCCGATTTGAAGGTAACAGTCTCCCTCACCATGCCCACCCTACATCACCCCTTTCTTGCACCAGGCATAGTTACAGCACAAACTCCCTCCCCACTCATCTCCATGATTGAGCTCTGACACCTGACAGGAATCCCTTCACAGGGATGCCTTCTCAGTCCAACATAGCTTTTTCTGATTAAGCTTCAGGCAGGGCTGGATGTGGGTACACGGCCAAGTAATCTCCCTCTTTCAGTTCTTTGCTGTGCAGGAGCGTCATTCACATGCAGGATTTTCCCGTGTGGTGAACTTACAGACCACCAACTGACTTGACACCATCAGAAAAAAGGAAAATTTATTAGAGCTTTGGTAACAATGCCAGAAAACGTTCTCGTGGACTTGACAACACAGTATTATGATTGGCAAGTCCATATCACGTGGCTCTCCCTGATTTGCCCCAACTAAACTTCATGGACTGGATGTAGGGAAGGCTTATTCCCCCAAATGAAAATAGTGGTGGTGTTATGACAAGGAAGAATGGATGTTGGGGAGGTCAAAGAACAGTGATCACAGAAGAGGCATTTAAGCTTGGCCTTCTAGGATAGAGGATATCTGGGTGACTTAAAAGAGAAAGGCTTCAAGTGTAGCTCTAGTGAAAGGAACAGTGGTGTGTTTGGAAAACAGGATTGTAGCTGGAGCAAAGGATTTATATAAACAGCAGCAAGAGAGACGCTGGAGGGTTGGGGAGGTGGTTCAGTGGTTAAGAGCACATACTGCTCTTCTAGAGGACCTGAGTTAAAAATTACAAGCACCCATATCTGGTAGCTTGCAACTAACTACCTGTGATCCCAGCTCCAGGGGATCTGAGGCCCTCTTCTGACCTCTGCAGGCACCTGCACACGTATGTGCAAACCCCCACATAGACACACATATATACACATAATTAAAAATAAAATAATATTTAAAGAGCATATTTAGAGTGCAAATGCATAAATGACTCCAAAGCTCCTAATTTGAAAAAGGAATACACTAAACACACACACACACACACACACACACACACACACACAAATAAATAAATAAATGAATAACAAAGTAAGTATATTTTTTAAAAAGAGAAAAAGAGAGGCACTGAAAGGGAAGTACTTGGAAATAAGGTCTTGTTCCTGGATGAACCATAAAGTGGAACTAGCAGTGGGCCCTGGTAGCTGGATAGGATTTGTACATGATACCGTTGTCAGATTAGTAACATGAAACACAACAGTGGGTCTGCAGAAATGCAGGCTGTGATGGGCTCTGGGAGCTCTCTGGTCTTTGGTGAGAATGTTATCTGCCTCTCTAGCTGTGGGCCACTGCTGCACTGTGAGCTTCAGTTTCCTCCCCTGAGTCACAGATAGTTTTGTGGCTAAGATGCAATCAGGTAGACAAAAGCTGAAACGTTCTAGAAATGTTCATTTTTCTGACTTAGTCCTCAGTAAAAACTGAGCAGCTTCCACACTCGCTGCAGTTTTAGATTCTAGCAACAGTGTAGATGATCAGAATCCAACTGTTATTTTTGAGGATAGAACACACCTACGCAAGCCAGTTCTCCAGAGGCACCCCTCCCCAACCTCCCACCCTTGCAGTTTCCAGAGCCAATTGTCTGTGGCAAACAACTAAACCTTCTGGGTTGGAGACCTGGTTCTGCTGTTGCATGCTGGGTGGCTTTTTGTCTGCAGATTCTCTTGCTGTAGAATGGTGGTTAGTATTTGACTAGTGGTTCTCAAATTCAGGGCCAGCTTGGGCTACATTAGTGAGACCAATCTCCCACTTCAAAACACCGAAACAAATCAAAAAGGCCACAAGTAGCCAAACAACACCCGAATTCAGCCCAAATGCCCAACTTGAGACCCAGAGTCCTATTGCTTAACTTTTGTGAACAACTCCTCTTTAGCCTTTGAGGAAGATCGATGCTTCGCTCCTTTTCTGGCACATGGCAATGTGACTACTACAGACCCTGAGTACCGCCCAGGGGCACTGGCCACCTTCTCATGCCTCCCGGGATATGCTCTGGAGCCACCAGGTCCCCCCAATGCTATTGAATGTGTGGATCCCACAGAACCCCATTGGAATGACACAGAGCCAGCCTGCAAGGGTGAGCCATCCACATCCCAGAGTCCTTCTGCCCGCAGACAGGCCCTGAAGTGGGGAGTCATGGGGAGGGCAACTTAATGAAGGAGACCTTAAACATTGAAGCCTAATAAACCCAAAGTCTCAGGAAATCTCTGTCCCTTTGGAGGCTGTTTCCTTAGCTGAATAATTGGTGGGCTTGTTACCAATTCAGGCACAAACCCAAAAGGCTTCAAGAGCTACAACTAGAGTTGGGCTGAATTGTGGACTGGGTTAGCTACAGAGTGGGCAGGGTTAATTAAGGGCAGGACTGTGGTATCAGCCTAACCAAATCCATCTATGGCCAGAAATCTTCAACACTAAGAAGTGTGTAATATGGCCTGGTGCACACCACCTAGGCACTGTTTTGAATGAAGACCATCTGTCCACATGGGTCCTGATTATGACACTCTTCCCTAGCCATGTGTGGAGGAGAGCTGTCTGAGCCAGCTGGTGTGGTCCTGTCTCCTGACTGGCCCCAGAGCTATAGCCCCGGCCAGGACTGTGTGTGGGGCCTGCATGTCCAGGAAGAGAAGCGCATCCTGCTCCAAGTTGAGATGTATGTTTGGGTCGTGTAGAGGGTGTGATGGGTCTGGGCTCCAGCAGATGTGATGACACTGGCCTACATCTGAGCCTGGCTGGCTCGTCTAAGTTCACACAGATTTCAGTGGGTAGGTGATGTTCTGATGGAGGACATCAAACGGGTACAGGACAGAGGTGGGAGACCTGGGTTCCAATCACGTAGCATGGTAACCTTGGTTCTTCAAGGGCTATTGTAGTCAAGGGGCCCTGGTGTAGTGTCTCCCTCTGGAGGCTTCTGCAGTCAAATGCTCTACTGCTGAGTTATACTTCCTCTCTGGAGGTTTCTGACATTACTGGAGCAATTTCCAGGGACCCAGGCCCCAACTGTTGTATCCTCACTAGCAGCACGCTGGGTGTGGGTGCAAATCAGTGAGCTAATTTGGTATGAGTTTGTCGTGTCTGTGTAGAGAAGCAAAATTGGACATGACTCAAAAGCAGGTACTCAGGCCCACCCCAGCGTCTGTACAGAGTGGAGAAGACTATGATCTGTGTTTGATCAAACCTGGGCTAGGCTTCCCAAAGCTATGGAAGAGCGGGTAGAGCTAAATAAGGAAACTGGAGGTGGGAGGAGCCTTCGAACAGGCGGAACCCGGAGGAAACAGCCTTGAGGAGAAACCCTAGACCGAGGAATTGGGGCAGGGCTGGAGGTGGGTCACAGATGAGCAGAGTTGGGGGTTGGGCGAACCGGGTGGGAGGGGCTGGGCGTGGTCTCATCTTATTATCCGGTCCCACACCCCCCCCCCCACGCAGCTTGAATGTGCGCGAAGGGGACATGCTGACGCTGTTCGATGGGGACGGTGCCAGCACTCGAGTCTTGGCCCAGCTGCGGGGACCTCAGCCGCGTCGTCGTCTCCTCTCCTCTGGACCCGACCTCACTCTGCAGTTTCAGGCACCGCCTGGCCCTCCAAATCCAGGCCTAGGCCAGGGCTTCGTATTACATTTCAAAGGTACGAAAGGATGGTCAGAGGTCGCGCGGGGAGGCGGAACCCGGGGGCCCGTGGAGCTGGAAGGGCACCTTGAGTCAAGGGGCAGCTTCCAAACGCCTGTCTCCCTTGCAGAGGTCCCCAGGAACGACACGTGCCCGGAGCTGCCACCCCCGGAGTGGGGCTGGAGGACGGCGTCCCACGGGGATCTGATCCGGGGCACGGTGCTCACTTACCAGTGCGAACCTGGCTACGAACTGCTGGGCTCCGACATCCTCACCTGCCAGTGGGACCTGTCCTGGAGCGCAGCTCCACCCGCCTGCCAAAAGAGTAAGCTGGGCCCCGCCGTAAGCCTCTGCTTGGGCTCTGCCTCCGTCCTTTGGGGTCCTGGCCCCTGCCCTGATTCCACATCTCTTCGCTCTGGGTCCTGCCTGGGCTTCATGCCCATCCCTCCGTTCTTTGGGTCCCACTGCGTTCAGTGCCGTGAAACTGCCCTCTCTGGGTCTCGTAGCTCAGGGTTGCTTCCTTCTTTCCACCATCCTGGCCCTATCAAGGTTTTCCTCACGGCCACGCCCCTTCCAACTCCTGATTCCAGCCCCTTCCAGTCCCTTCCCTCCCAGCTTTTGCCAGCTTGCACCTGGGCTCACCCCATCAACTCTTGTTTTCTAAGACCTCTCAAACTCTCAGTCCCCAAAACATTGGCCCTGGGCAAAGTCACTTTGATCGGATCAAGGCTTGTCAATGGACTTGATTTATTTTAATGCAGTCACAGAAGCCCCCCTGCTAGGTTAGAATTATAGGTTGGGTTTCTGGCTCTTCCCTATCCTGACAGGAGCTCAAAACTGGAAGGCAGGCAGATGCCTAAGCAATTAGGTGGATTATACTGTGGTAATCAGGGGTGACTTAGGGCAGGGTACTTAAAACCCTAGCTTTGTCTTCCTCATGGATGAAGTGGTAGGGGATTGTACAGAGCAAAGGCAGCATTTCACACAATGCCTGGTGGATGTAAACAGTGAGTAAGTCACAGCTCTGAGCATGCTTGTGGGAAGTGCACAGCTTCATTTTCCCATGGATTGCACATATTTCAGGGGTGGCATTTACAGGCTACTTTTAGAAAAGCAGCAAGGCTGGGTACAGTGGTCCACATCTGTAATCCCAGCACTTGGGAAACTGAGGCCAACCTTAGCTGCACAGTGAGACCCTGTCTCAAAAACCCAAAGGCACTGGGTGTGGTAGCATATACCATTAATCCCAGCACTTGGCAGAAGCAGGTGGATCTTTGTGAGTTCGATGCCAGCCTTGTTCTACATAGCCAGGTCAGCTGGGGCTACAGGGGGATCCTGTCTCAAAAACAAAATCAAAACCCAAAGGCTAGTAAATATGTGATCACTAGTAACGTACTTACCTAGCACGTTAAACAAACAAGACAAACAACAAAAAAGCAGAGCAAGATGTGGTGGTGCACCTGGGTATTTCCGCATTTGGGAGGCAGTTCAAGCTCAGCCAGGCCTACTGACCAAGACGGTCTCAAAAAATTTAAAAACTAATGCCTTTAATCCCAGTACTCGGGAGGCACAGGGAGGCAGATCTTGTGAGTTAGAGGCCAGCCTGATCTACATAGGAGATTCCAGACCAGCCAGGGTTACATAGTGAGGCCCTGTGTCAAAAAAAAAAAAGAGCAGAAAGAGATAACATTTTGTCACTCTAAATTTTGGGAAGTTTGACACAAGGATAGGCTGTGGTTCTTGCAAATAGCTCCTGGGAATAGCGTGTTTCAGAAAGCCAGATTGGGGCTGGACACAGGGGAAACTGTGTAGCTGGTATAGTACCTCATCCCTGGAAGGATTCACAGAATATTGGACCCAAGTAGGCCAAGTAGTCAGCTTGCCTAGCTAAGGCTGGGCTCAGAAACTCCCCAGAATACACTCTGAGCCTGCTGCTGAACTAAGACCCAAGTCTCCATATCTATCTAGTACTCCCTGACTGTGACCCTTGAAGGTTCCAGCTCTGTCACTCCTCAGCTGCGTGCTAAGCCCTATGCCATAGAGCAATGATGGTGACATTGAGCTCTCAGGATAATCAAGATTTTATATATATATATAATTTTTATGTTGACAAGTAAATGTTGCAGCCAGTTTAATAACAAACAGAAAACCTTTAGTTAAGGGGAAAATTATTTTTTTGATGGCTATGGAGTTGGGAAATTATTAATTCAGGCTACTCTTCTTTGGCTTAACCATGGTATACCATGCTGTTTTTCAAAGCAGAGACTTGCATGAATATAGGGCAAGCTGGTGGAATTAGAAACAAAAACTGCTTTCATGTGATAATTTTGTTTCCTATGTTTTTTAAATATTATTTTTATTTTTTTAGAAGAAGCATATCATTACAGCTTTGACATGCCCAATAACAGTTTCCAGAGCAAAGACACAGCTCCTTCAAAAGTGGCTACAAAATTTCTAGGTTCTCTGTTGAATTAA